ATGGGGGGCGTCAGCATTGTTCTGGGCCTGCGCACAGCAAGCATCATCATGCGGGCACCACCGCCGTCCCTGTCAAAAACCATACAAAGTGATCGCGGGTGGCCAGCACAATACCCACGACTTTGTCGCAACGTGCCTTTTGCATTGTTTTCGAGACGGATGGTGGTCCTGCACACAGCGGCTTCACTGAGGGTGCCCCGCCACCCCTGTCACAAAACAATACAACGTGTTCACAGGGCGCCAGCGCACAGTCCAGATTTAATTGCAATATGCACTTCGTATTGTTTTTGTTGACGGGGATTGTGGATGGTATTGGCAGGGTGGGCCCCGAAATGTGCAGTTCGTATTTTTTGACAGGGATGGTGGGGTGGGGGGCCCTCACGGTGTGCGCATGGTTCCATGTTGGATGCCGGCCGGGTGGGGGAGGGGGTGTTTATTAATAGGGAACCGTGATAAACCTTTCCCCGAAGGGCTGGTGGGGTGGGAGTCGTGCAGAGGGGGGCGGGGGGGAGACGGAAGTGGGGAGAGAAGGGGGGGGGGGGGGGCGTTTCTTAGAAGCACCCGTGCTCCTCAAAAGGCACGGGCCTTATATATAATTAAGCGGCGTCCGGGGCCCCGCGGCCCAGGGTCGCACTCTTTTCCAAAACTCCCCCCCACCCCCCACCCCCGTAACCGAATTAGCCCCCCGGGCTGCGGGGGCCGTTTTTTGGCATCCAGGGGCTCGTTTTCGGAGTCCCGGAACTTTTTCCGCTTCCCCGAGGCGACGCCGAAAAGCAAGAGCCCCGCTTCTGAGAACAGCCTCCGCACCGCCTTTGTGTGAGAGCGCAGGCGTGTGAGACGAGTTTGCGCGGCGCCACGGCGAAGGACAGGTTTTGGGAGCCGGCCCCTCAATCGGTGCACCTGATCCTTGTGTTCGTAACTGGTGGCGAAGTCTCAGGCGAAGCGCCCAGCCCGCCAACACGTCGGGGGATGCGACAGGGAGGAGCTGGCGAAACGCCCAGTTTGCTAACACGTCGGGGGATGCGACAGGGAGGAGCTGTGCGCAAGGAGAGGGGGGAGTAATGAGGAGGAGGAGGAGGAGGAGGAGGAGGAGGAGGAGGAGGAGGAGGAGGAGGGACGAGGAGGGAAGAGGAGGGGAGGAGGACGAGGAGGAAGGGGCGGAGAAGCGGAGGGGGGAGGAAGAGGGAGATTCGGAAGAGAACGTGCGAACACGTCCCGCCCTCTCATGAGGACTGTGGAGGGTGGTGCGGTGCGCCCACGCGAGCGCGCACCGTGGCGCCGGTGGTCGCGAGCATCAAAGCTCTGGAGACGAATCGCATCCTCCTCCCACTCCTCTTTCACCTCTTTCTCTCATCTCCTCATCCTCCTCCTCACTGCTCGTCCTCGTCCTCTTCCTCCTCTTCCTCCTAATCCTCCTCTTCCTCCTCCTTGTTCCTGCTCCTCCTGCTCCTTCCTCGTCCTTTCCTCCTCCCCGCCCCTACGCCTCCTGATGCTGCTGCCCCACCCCCTGAGGTTCGGGTAGGTCTCCAGAGCTCTCTGGAGGTCCCGGAGTGATGAAGTTTCTGGCGATCCTCCTCCTCGTCCCCCTGCTTTTGACGGTCGGCAAACACGAGGAGGGGCCTGTCGCGTTATCGGGTTGCATTTGATGCCAAGAAACAACTAGTTATCGCTGTGCTGGACAATTTAAGGCGAAATTGGCGGCAGGCCCGTGCGGAGCAAGAGCTGTTCAAAGAGTAATGGTAAAAGCAGAGTGCCCAAAGGGCGTAGAGTAGCGATGCCCGCCGCCGGTGTGGAGCGGGAGAGAGAGAGAGAGAGAGAGACAGAGAGAGACAGAGAGAGAGAGAGAGACGAGATCACAAACCAAAGTAAAAAATGAACAGCTTCATAACGAAGGAAAGAGGGAATAGTACAGAGTGGACGAAATACACGTGCAAGTATAGTAAAGGGGGAGTCAGTGCAAAGGCTAGTCTGCATAGGTAGTCGTAGAGCTTCGGCAGGCGCAGTGTGCTATTCCCCCTGCACCTCGCTTCCCGCCCTCCCTAAGCCTCATTCATCCACCAATACATACCAGGTCCCTCGTCGAGGGGTTCCAGAGCCAATCTTACGCTGCTCTCTGCGGCCCTCTTGGGCATCTCTCTCGGACAAGGCAGCACAGCGAGGCCAAGCTCTGACGAATGCCGATCCCCCCCCCCACCGACCTCATGGGCAGGTCCAAGTGCTAACCCTAACCGAGGGCAGCTGGAAGTCCAACACATCGAGGTCATTCTAAGTAGGGCTTGCCGCTACGCAAATCAGGCGTCGGCACGTTCAGCTCCGTAGCGTTAGCCCTGGCGGTCAACGCGCTCGCTTCGGTCGACTCGCTCGGTTTGGCACCGCTCGAATTTGTGATGTTAGAGGCTGCCAGTCTCTCCCCTTCTCGTCTTTCTCCTCACCCTTTTCCTCGTCCTGGCGGTCGCTACTTCTCTCCCGGGCTGCTGGGAACCACACCCCGCACACAGCGGCGCCGTGTTCCGTTCCTATCGATACCACGCCTTCCACGCAACTGCGCACAGTGCCCATCTCACTGGAACTGCGCCCGTCAGAAAGCGGCGCCGTGAGTCCCAGATGGTTTGGTCGAGGTGTTCCATGTGGGGACGGCCGTCAGTGGAGATACGGTCGAGAAGTACGAGAGCGAAGGTCGGCAATGAAGGGCGGGCGGGGGGGGGGCGAGGGGGAGGAGGTGGAGGAGGAGGAGGAGGAGGAGGAGGAGGAGGAGGAGGAGAAGGAGGCACGACCAGATCGAACATAGTGCGCAGAGCGACAGACGAGTAAAGAGAGCGAGCAGGAGACAGGACGAGCACGCGCAACCCTACGATTCAAGGGGAGTAAGGAAATTTGCTCGACTACAGAAGGTTTTGTAGTCAAGCAAACTCGAACGAGGAATTTTGCGGGTTCGAGCAACCTCAGACGAAGCCCAAAACGGGCATCGCTTGAGGGCAGGATACCTCGAAGGACTTTAAATAAGTTGAGTCCTTATTGGATGCAATGCCCTCGCAGTCGCGGGGCCGACTGTTGGGCCCTGGCACCACACCGATGGCAGAATGCAAGGGTAGCTCCAGCAAGGCTTGTATGAGGTCCCCGAGCGCTAATGGGCCCTACTGGGCCATGAGCGGGAAGGGGGGCATCAGGAAGGACGGCCTCTTTCGCGGTCCAGGAGCCAGCGCGCCGCGGACCTCCAGAGGTCCTTGGCCTCTTGGCGGGCGGAGGCCCACCATGGCCAGCGGAGGCAGGAGGCACTCCGCCGTCGGCAGCACCAGGGGCCGAGAGCCTGGGGGCCTCTGGGCAAGGTCCCTCACTGGACCCGTCCTCCGAGAAGTCCCCCTTCCTCCTGGCGGGGGCGGGGGGGGAGGGGGGGCACGGGCTCCTCGAAACCCTGAGAGCGTGCGGCCTTGGCCAGCCTGCACGCCTCCGCCAGGTCCGAATCCCACTGCTCCTCCTCCGTCCTGAACCTCACCCGCCTCACCACCAGGGATCGCTCGAGGCCCTCGATCGCCAAGGTCGGCGGCACCGCTGGCTCCTCTGGGGCCTCACGAGGCCCAGAGGAAGCATCGGCCTCGGCCCAGAGGAAGCATCGGCCTCGGAGGAGGAGGAGGTACTCGATTTGGGAATGGCCGTCAGCGGAAGTACGGTCGAGCACGTGCGACCGCGGAGTGCCCACGGGGAGGGGGGGGAGGCGAGGGGGGAGGGGGGGACAAGGACGGAGACAGGAGAGAGGACGGAGAAGAACAGGAGGAGACGGGTAAGGAGGTGAGGAGGAGGATGACAAAGAAGAAGAAGAAGAAGAGGAGGAGGAATCGGAAGATGAGGAAGAAACAGAGAGAGAGAGAGAGGAGAGCGGGAGGAAGAGGGGGAGGAGGCGGTGGAGGAGGAGGAAAAGCAACAACAGCACGGACAGGGTCAGGGAGAATGAGAAGGAGAAGGAAGATGAGGCAGAGGAAGAAGGCACCGCAGGAGTAGGGAGGAGGAAGAGGCAGGAAGGAAGGGAGGACCAGAGTAAAGCCAGCATGCATCTCCGATGCTGCAATACACCGTCCTGTCCCAAACTCCCTCCTCAGAAGTCTCTGCGAAAGGTAGGACGATCAGAGTCAAGGAAGTGTCCAGCGATAGCTCCGTTTTGAAGGGATCGGCCCCCCATCCGTGCAAGTGTTGTACAAGTTCAAAGTTGTGGTCATGGCATGCGCGGAAATCACGGGCGACACCCCCATCTTCCAAAAGCAGTCGCCCTCCAGGAAGCATCTTCTTGCTGGAAGCTTGAGGAAGCATCTTCTTTTTGGAAGCTTGAGGAAGCTTGTCGGAAGCATCCAGTCCCCTTCTTCAGAAAGCATATTCGTGGTGGAAGCTTGTAGGAGGAATGTGCGCGGCATTGGGGCTCGCGCCGCACGCTGGAAACCACCGCCCGTCTCTCCTTCCACATCCAAGACGGTGAGAGATAAGGAGCAGTTTGGGTTCGGAAGGGGCCCGATGCTCCTCGGGTCCTTCCATGGCCGTTCCTCTAGCCCTCCTCGTGCACGCCAGCACTTGTGAGAGCCACTAGGGGCTTCGTTCCATTTCGATCGTTCCTGATTGAGGCAGTCTGACTTGAACTGTTCGAGCTTTCGTGCCCTGGCACAGGAGGTGCGACACGTCCCGGCCTGGCCAAGAGACACGTCTGGCGACGCGACGGGCCAGAGCGTTTACCAGGACAAGGGGATGCAGCAGCAGTAGGGGGTTGCGGAGGAGGGGGCGGGGCAGAGGAAGGGGGGAACGGAGGTCGAGAAGAAAAAAGGGGGGGAAGGGAGGGAAGGGGGGGAGGCGGAGGGGGACGGAGGCGTAGGAGGAGGGGAAGGTGCAGGAAGGGGAGGAGGAGCAGGAGCAGAATGAGGAGGAGGAGGAGGAGGAGGAGGAGGAGGAGGAGGAGGGCGAGGGGGACGGAAGGGGGGCAGGAGGAGCAGCAGCAGCAGCAGCAGCCAGCCGCCAGCGATGCCGAGGCCCAGCAGCCAGCCGCGCCAGCGGCCGCCGCCTGGGCCCCGGCGCAGTTGCGGACGCCGCCCGCGGTGCAGAGGGGGTCCCGGGTGGGAGGGGTGAGTCGGGCATGTCCCTCTACAGGAGGAATATTAAAAATAGTAAAAACACAATACGGGGACGAGTTCTTGAGTGTTTTCTGAATATGTTCTGACTACTTTATATTTGTCATCAAAAATCCGCCTGCAGGAGGACACGCCCGACTGAATGGGAGGGCCTCTGTACTTGCGGCGGGGTCCGCGCCGCGCCGACGCGGCGGTGTGCCTTGCGCGGGCGTTCCAGGGGTGTGAGGGCCACCACCGCCCGCGGGTGCCTTCTGCTATGGCCACGTGACAATTCCCCAGAGAAACCTGCCTGAACTCGCAGCGGGTCCCGAGAGGCCTTCTTTAAGCATTTTCCAGTACGCGTGCCCAGAAGCTTTCTAGAAGGTCCTTCGGAAGCTCTCTCCAGGTCCTTCCAGAGATTCTTCGACAGGCCTTCGCACGCCCTTCTGGCGCCCTGCTGTCCGGACCTTGGACCCCACAAGTGAGGGCCACCACCGCCCGCGGAGGCCCTCTGTGGTGGCCACTCGCGGCAGCAGCTGCGCCAGGGCCGCTGAGATCGAGCGACCCGCGCGGTGTCCAAGAGCAGCGCCCGCGTCGGCACGCCACTCCCCCATCCCGCCGTAGTCACGCGAGCCAGCCGTACTTCGCCACCCTCGAGATCGTTCTTTGATTACTTCCAGACGTAACGCGTGTTGCCCCCTCCGCCCCCCCCCCCACCCCACGTAACGGTGACGCGGGGAAATCTGCTACGGGCGTGAACGCGTGCAGTTTCCCATAGAGGAGGTGGAGGAGGAGGACGAGCAGCAGCAGCCGGAGCAGCAGCAGCAGGAGGCGAAGGATGAGGAGGAGGAAGAGGAGGAGGGAGGCGGAGCTGTGTAGGAGGTGAGGAGGGGCAGGAGGAGGAGGAAGAGGAGAAGGAGGACGAGGAGGAGGAGGAGGGGCAGGAGGAGGAGGAGGAGGAGGAAGAGCTGGAGGACGAGGAGGAGGAGGAAGAGAAGAGGGTGAAGGAGGGGGAGGAGGAGGAGGGCGAAGACGACGACGACCGACGTGGCCTGGAGGCCCCGACAAGTGCACGCAGGCATGGGGGACTCGTGGGGCACATTGTTGTTGCCGCTGCTGCTGCGGCAACACGTGGTGTACAGAAACAATGTGGTGCACGCAGGCATCGGAGCGCACGCAGGGCGAGTTCACACAGATAATGCGATGCACGCAGGCACGGTGGTGTCCACAAGCGCTGCGTCGCACTTGGTTGCTGTTTTACGCGGGCACTGCGGTCCACAAAAGCCCAACTGCGCACCAACTACTACTACTACTCCGACCAATGCCACTACTGCTACTACTATTGTTGCTACTACTACTACTATTACTACTACTACTACTACTACTACTACTACTACTACTACTACTACTACTACTACTACTACTACTACCACTACACTACACTACTACTACTACTACTACTACTACTACTACTACTACTACTACTACTACTACTACTACTACTACTACTACTACTACTACTACGACTACTACTACTACTACTACTACGACTACGACTACGACTACGACTACGGCTACTACTACCACTACTACGACTACTGCGACTACTTCTACTACTACGACTACTACTACTACTACTACTACTACTACTACTACTACTACTACTACTACGACTGCTTCTGTTATTACTACCACTACTACTACTACTACTACTACTACTACTAATACTACTTACTAAACCTGTCTACTACAAACCATAAATCGCCAATATAATCACATACAATATAAGCAAAACATTACCCATTTACTCACACACTCACAAAGTCCAACTCACACTAGACACACAACACCAACTACTACATACTTTCTGCTCGCTCCGGACTACGAGCTGCTAGCTTCCCCGTCTCGGGCCTCTCGTGCCAGTGAACTGTTTGCGTGGGCTCCTCGACGTCGAAGAGCGAGCGAGGGTGAGGAAAGATGCACCTCGCGAACCTCTCCGCCATGAGCGGCCCGAACTGCTTCACTCTCTGCGCACACCTACACAAGTGAGCACTCGCATGGTCTCGCCGCCATGCTTCGTGCGCAGGGCACTCGTACTGACGGTGCCACAAAGTACCTGGGGCCCCCTTGCACACCTGACAAAGATCATCATCGTGGAGGTTGTGAGCATGAAGTCGGGCTTGGGGCCAGTGAACTCCCGAGACCAAACCTCTTAAACATCTCTGATGGTGCTTCCCCCAGGTTTCGGACTTTCTCCTTGAACATCTGGAAATGCCATCCAGAAGATAGGGTACACGGTTGTGTGGCCCATCAAGGCCGTTCATGCAAGAGAAGGGCATGGCCTATCTGACGCTCGCACATCACATGCCTGATCATAGACCTACGCTGCAAATCGGGTGAGGAGCATGAGCAATCATGCAACAACGTTCAAGTCATCGTTGATGGTGTGCTGTCGGCACAAAGTCCCAGCCTATGCCCCGCAACGTCAAGAGCGCGACGTCGCTGGGGGAAGACGCTGACCTCCAGGGCTGAGCTGAATTCAGAAACTTGGCGATCGAGACCCTCATGGTATTGGCCAACACCTGAACGTGAGGGACAGCTTCCCAAACTGCAGTCGCCCACATGAAAAGCACGTGCCCCACGTAAACCACCAGAGGGTCTACCTTGACCCCAAGCCCATACGTGTACATGCTGAGCCCAACCGAAGCACCTTTAGGGAGCCTGCCTAGGGAAACTAGCAGCCCCGATACGGAGCCCAGCCATTTTTGTGGGGGCCACCCCAGAGACCGATGATCCCCATAGGGCCGATGCCACTGGCCCCATCCTGTGAACCATCCCGATGTCGGCTCCAGCTCCTTGTAGTATCTTGAGCCTCCTGGCCCTGCGCGACGCACCTGCAAACCTTGAGTTCTGAATACCGATCCTGCGGAGGCCTCCCAAGGTAGCGTTGGTCCCAAGATTCCTCGCCGTGTCGGTGCGGCAAGAGGTGGGGAGGGACCAGGCCTTGGACAGGTGCGCCTCAACCTCCTTCGAGCAAAGGTAGGCACACTTCTTAAACGCCACAGGGAGCTGCAGCTGCTTGAAACTCTTGATCAGAGACTCAACTCCCCCAGCCAGTTGGGCCGCCACCTGATGCTTGGGCCCGCAACACTGAACAGTCATGTCGTCCACCACATTACGCACATACAACAAGTTCCTGCTCTCACGGGCCTCCAATAGCGGTCCTAGTAGCAACATCTTGGCGAACGTCGTAGCCCCCGAGCACCCAGCCACGATTGCCCCGTTCGATTCGACGACGGCCGACGAAGCTCCCCCGTAAAGAAGCACACGGTAGCCAGCATAGATGGTACAGTACGCTTTGACCAGCCTGACTGGGAAACCAAACCGTTTAGCTGCAACCAGGAGGTCCCCGTGGTTGACATTCTCATAGAACTTAGCCAAGTCCAAGAGAGCCGACGCTGATTCGAAGCCTGCTTTACGACAATGCGCCCCGAGCAAGTTGTGGACCCATCCGGCCCTCTCGCACGTCGTGTCGGGCCCTGAGCCCCAGAAAAACTCGTACACGTGGGACTTTTCCCAGGAGCGGCAATACGGCTGCCTCAATCGGCCCCAGAGCTTCGTGAAAAGGCATAGCAAACCGATCGGCCTGACCCCTCCCGTTGGTTTGTCCAAGAAAACCACATTGGTCAGGAACATCACGACGGCCCCTGGGTCGACCTCGAAGAGCGTCAAAATCTCCAGGAGCCGAAACTGGTAACTTTCGGGCAGCTGCAAAATCCACCGCGGGTTAAATCCATCCCAGCCTAGGCCTGCCGCGGGCCCGTACATCTTACAAACTCGATGTAAATCCTCCAGTCTGAGCGGGGAAAGGGCAGGCTCGTCGGCAGGAACTTCCCAGGAGCTCGGTGCGGGCCCGCGGCCAGCTCGAAACCACATCGGATGCCGCGCATCGACAAGCTCTTGCACTGCGGCCTGACCAGCCACTGGAAGCCGAGGATCATCCGACGTACCTCGCGAAAAACCACACGAGACCTGCTGCTTGGAGAAGGCATGCGCCGCTTTACCACCTCCAGAGACGGCACTCTTGGCCCATTCCTTCCACTTAGCGAGCTGCGAAGCCGCGTCCAGCCTCTGGCGACGAGTGCACTCTTTGCAGATGGCCCCATTGACGTCGTCGTTCCAGGAACCTTCACCCGATGCCGCCCTAACAATGGAGTGCAACTGGGCCTTTGTGGGCCCATCTTCCGTCAGCTGGAGGTCCTCCAAAATGTCGAACAGCTTAAGCTTCCAGGATCCCAAAAGAGCTCTTCCCTTGGCACCTGGGTTCCCAGCACTGATTGCCTTTGCCTTCTTGAGCAAGGCCTCGAACGATATCCAGCAGACAGTCTGCTTCGAAAAACGCCGGCGGTGATCTCGCTCTCGCAGCGCCACTAAGGGAACTTTGCGAGACTTGGGCCCAGCGGAGCGACCTACATACCCTTTCTGATCACTTATTCCATGAATTTCAACCAGGCGAGCTTCGGCTTCCCCAAACCACTCCCGAGCTGTAGCGGTGTTCAAATATGAGTTTAGAGGGTCGCTACAGTTGGGATGTCCCTTTCCTGCGGCAGCGGCCCCATGAGCGCGGTGCTGAACGGCTTGAAACGCGTCTGCTGCTGGACCACCGCCGTCTGGCAGAGGTTCCCCAACCGAAGCAGCACAGGGCAATGGGGAAACAGAGGCGCTCCTCGGATAGCCTGGACATCTTTGATGCACGAACTGATAGCCGATGACACGACGAAGAAGTCAAGCTCCCTTCCTCCCCCGTCATGCTCCGTCAGCTCATCCTCCTCCATATCTTCTCCCCTGGCAGTCCTAGGAGCGCAGGCCGAGCAGGTTGCCTGGCCAGAAGCGGCTAGCACACCGTGCACATGCTGCATCCAACCTGATAGCTGGAGAGCCGCGGGCGTGAAATTCCAATCACCTTGCACAACCCACGGACGCTTACT